TACGAACTGTTGCAGCTCAAATTACAAACTTAAATAAGATGATTTTATTCGTCAAATTTGGGTAGGACAAAACTGACTGAAAAACCGACCGACCGGAAATGAACAGGCCTAATATAAGAGCTGGCGAATTTCTATAAATCACGAGATGATCGGCCAATCAGATTTCAGATTTTTTTTTAGCCGGATAGGCATAATGGGAATTCGGGAAAATGATTACGAATAAAATGCACATGCAGAAATATATTATTTTTCTGATGGTAGAGCTTGTCTGAGCTCGTCAAAATTGAACAGAAGATAGATCAGCATCCGGTTAAATTTATCTCCCGAAATAACTGTACATATGATTAGATTATTTTTTTGATGGTAGAGTCTGGACAAGCTTGTCCGAGCTCGTCAAAACTGTGCAGAAGAATGAATGAATCATGTGACGTAATACAGTATGTCAAGTGTTAATTTATAGCGCAGTACTTCACATATTTTACGAAATTATTTATTGCATATTTCAAATGCATTTCACATACTCATACACATTCGCAAAGCAAATAAAAATATAAGCCCTGAATTGTTGGGGCAGAACTTTATTAAATCGTTTTAGCTAAAGGGTCCCAGAAGGACCAAAGTTACCATATTCTCCTAAAAATGATAGCAGAGGCTGGACAAGCTAGTCTGAGCTCGTCAAACCTTATGCGTTAAAATTTCAGCCATTAAATATTTGATTTCATCTGCAGTTAGATTTAAGATGAATGATGGGGGAATAGATCTAATCCGGGCTATTTTTTCTGAATTACTGTACTATTGGTTTATAATACAAGAGCGGGTATGACTGCCTTCCTTCTCATAAATTCGAAGCCAGAAAAAATTTGAGAAATTTCAACAATGGGGACATCTCCAAAAAATAGTCGTAGCTCCGAAATAAATATTTGTGAAGTATTACTTATTACATCATATATTACCTGCAAACCAGGCGATGCGTTTTTTATTAGTAATAAAATACCTTCGAGAAGAAAAATGTGACAAATGCAAATATTCCTGTCCAGGTTTATTAATTAAAATAAGCATACATGAGTGAATCGTATGATCTGTTCATATGATTTTTAACAACCCAAATTTACTAGCAATTACGCACTGCATTTCATCATTGTGTTAATCTCCCTTGTAAATCAATAAAGACGGTCGAAGGATTAGCAAAGATATCCCGAATATATATGCAAATCTTACATTGCACAGCCCATATTATTTGGTAAGAGTTTTACCGATGCATTTCAGGTGATCGATATATTTAGGCCTGTATAAATTGAGTATGAGAGTTTGCTCCCATTCTTTCATAAGATCATCGAGCCATGCAGTACTTAAACGTTAAATTAGAGACGTGAATTAAAGGAATAGGTGTGGTTACCTTAGACAATTCAGTCACGTGTGCGTTCCAATTTGGAACGCAGGTCATTTTGTCAAGAAAATATAAATGTGTATGTGAATAGACCATTGGTTTGTAAGTCCAGAAGTTGTTTATTGCAAATGCACCGAAAAAAATTATTCATACCTTTTTCGTAATGTCTTTGTCCGGAACTTTTCTCTATTATTTCTTTCCGTTCATACTACAGATGTTATAAATACACTAGTCCTACTTAGAAAAATAAATGTTTAGCTTGCCTTATAACGATTAACAAAATAAATAGCTGATTTAAAAAGTTTTTCTTATTTTAAAAACATTGAAATAGAAAGATTATATATTTATTACAAATATTAAAATAAAGACGTGATTTTAAAATTGCGATTTTCTTATTTATACAGAAGAGATAACTTCTCAGCATCAAACCCATTATTTAAGTTTGTGATCATCAAGCAAACGGATATTCTTTGCATATGATTGTCTTGAAGGCCTTTTTTGGTTCCTTATCTCCTTGAATTTTACTGTCATGTCATAAGCAAGCAACTGAATTTATACAATCGATAGAGTTACTTATTATATTTACAATATGTATAAAATAAAAACTGTTAATACATACAGCCCATTTTAATATACATTCGTAGTACCATACAAAGTCTGCCATTTCAGTAAAATCTCGAGGGAGATTTGCATTTTCGATTTCATGTAAACAGAATTCACCTATAATTATAGTAACATTGGTATGAGAATATATTAATAAAATAGACAATGAAAATAAAAGAATAACATGCCACAATAATCGAGATAAAAGAGGTGAATGCGAAGCTGAAAACTTTGTCCTCCGAAGACAGCCATTCCGTTTGGAATACGCCTTCTATTGTTAATGGTTTCTCTTACAATTGATGTAAACATCGTCTTTAAGTTTCTCGCTACTTTTTCCGCAACTGCTAATTCTTTGTTTTCCTTTGCCTTGGGCTTTGCCCCTTCCACATAAACCAATTGGAATTTATCAGCGCCCATCATATACCCAGCACCATCGGCGCATTCTCGTTTCACATGGTTCTGAGAAGGAATCTCCCAAAGATATAGTTAATTTTTGTAACATGCCAGAGGGTCGCTTCCAGACACGGATGAACATATGAATTCAAGTGTGGTTTCTCTATTGTTTTAATATCTAGAAGAGGATTAAATGCGCCAAGAGAAAACGCTTTTATACTACAAAAATAAGTACAATATAAACATTAGCATAATACTTTATGTTTAACAAATCAATAGTTGCTCGTACTTACAACTGTGGTAATGTGCGTCGTATTATTCTTGTTGTTGCCACCATCAGTTTACTATCATTTTTTGGTCGCAGGTCGTCAATCTTATTCTGCCATTCGGCGCCTGACAGCTCTTGAGAGAAAAAATTTACAAGAAAATCATGAACGTCATCCGGAATCAAGTTGCCTAACCTCTGCTCAATTTCTTAATTATAATCTTGAGTGACTTGATAAGAAAGTTGTTTGAAAAATTGCGCCTTGGTCGTAAATCAACTATGGCATTTTCATGACAATGTTTTTTATATTCAAAATATATCTTCTTCATTGTGTCTGAACATTCAATCTCGTTTCCGAAAATTTCCATAATAGACTCCTATAAGGTAATAACATTATAAGTATTATTAAATCACATAATATATTTATAAAACTTACATCGTCTTCTTGTTTTCTTTTTTCAGGAATAGTTTTAGGACTAGAACATTCAGCAGAAGAGTTAGATTCGTTCTAGAAAGGAACAATAATTATGTACTTTTTATTTTGATACTTTGGTAATTCAAGGTTTGACTTTATCAAAATACCTCCTTTCCGTAGCACTCATAGTCATGTTCTTCTTGGAACTTGTAAGGGATAGGTTAGAACAAGTTGTCAATATCATATTACACCATAAAAAACAATATGGACTTAAGTACAAACCAATTCAGGTACGAAATTATCCACGTAATATTCCTCATGTCGAATTCGTTTCTCGCTAGACGACGAAGATTCTTCATTATCCTCCACTATTCGTTTTTTGCTCGATATTCGTAAGACTTCCGAAATCTTATTCTCTGAAAATATGGTTGAGTCAAGAATTCGAAGTCTCTCGGCAATTTGTAGGTCAATATGTCGTTGATAAAATTCGTCATAAAACTTCTTACAGCCTTGACGTACGATGGAACCTTCAAAAGTCTCACAAATGTTATATAAATCTTTGCAAAAGCCAGATACGGAGCCTGGAACATTTTTGCCATAATCCTTGAAAATAAAGCGAAGAGACTGCTGCCAATCGCTATATACAGTGCTCCATGGTGATATTGTTTCTTCGACCTTCAAACGAAAACTTAAATAATGTTTTAACTGCCAGTATCTTGCTTCTATCCTCTTAAAGTATTCGTGTACTTCTTCTTCCTCAGGAATCTAAAACTTAAGTAATTCGTGGATCTTAAAACAGCAGTCATCAGTAAATATTTTTTGACGTGATGAAAATTTGGTCGCGTATACGAAATCTCATGATTAGTAAAGATAAAGACGTGCCACAATTTTAGTGTAACTGCAATTTTTTCCACCGTGATTTTTAGCCGAAATAGTAGAAACATTTTCGCTTAATTATTTCACGTCGGTATTATGGTTGAAAATAACGAGGGTGCAACTATGCTGAAGTTACTCGTGCTGGTCCACTCAATGGCGGCGAGTGCTTCCCTTGGTATATATTTACCTTGGAGACGCCATACTTCACGCTGGTCCACTCATTTGGCGGTGAAGTTATGAGTTGCTTGGTACTAACAACTGTTCGTGCTGGTCCACTCAATGGCGACGGCAGTTGATCCGCTGACCTTGCTGAAGTTACTCGTGCTGGTCCACTCAATGGCGGCGAGTGCTTCCCTTGGTATATATTTACCTTGGAGACGCCATACTTCACGCTGGTCCACTCATTTGGCGGTGAAGTTATGAGTCAGTTGATATTCAAGTTATCTCTTGATAGTCGCCAGCCTCTGTCTTATCAGCCAATATTAAGAAAAAAATTCTGGTTAAATTCAAAAGCCTTATCTGGGAGAAACTTTAGAAAAAAAAGGCCAGCTAAGTGATAATATACTATTTTATCTGTCTCCAATAAATGATTTTCATATATACAATGAAGGAGGAAGCGAAATAATATGATGCTATCAAAGAGGGAGGGAGTACGCGGATTCTAGGCCATTTAATGCGAGTCCCAGCATCAAGTTATTTCTTTGCTCTCTCACATTTCTTGTAAATTTCTACGGCTAATGTGTTTCTATCACTATTATTGCTAATTACAAGATTATCATCCCTACAATCTTTTTCTACACTAGATTTTCGAAATAAATGATCCCATCAATATATACATATATCGATATCACTCCCACCCACACGGACCATATAAAGTATTAAGCTCTGCGAGAGAACTTCAAGTAATTTCGAAACTATAGCATAAATCGGGGATTAGCAACTGAGATAAAAAAAAAAAAAATAAGCAATGTAATATTACCGATTCACTCTTACCACAACTTATATTTATGAAATTTGTTGCTTAATATGTTAAGATATTTCGAGCAAGTACGATTCTGCGCCAAACATGACAGATCTTGTATTCTTGTGGCATGTGATTAAATCAGGTGAAATTTGCAAAGCCACAAAAATAACACTGCGCCGATGAGGATCACGATTTTCTCAGTGTGTTAAAAAGATCAAGAATGGTAATATATCCGCTTTGACTTTGTATATCTATAAAGCCGGAAAAAATGATTAGCATCATGATGATGTTCTTCTAGAATCAAGCTGAGAAATAAATCATCGTACCTTGTTATTACTTTTCGGAGTAGACTCGTTTGACTGATTGCTGGTATCGATGATGAGAATACAGTAATTTTGAATATTTCGCTTTATTATTTGCTTATAATTTGCGCAAGGCAGATAAAAGGATTTAATAATCACCACACTTAAATATTTAGGGGAATTATGATGGCATCACGGAAATCAGATTGACGGATTCGCTCAAAGACATAATAAAAAGTCTTGATCGCTACCATATGGGATCATACCCCTTGGATCAACAAAGGGGTATTATTATTACACGATTATCTGCGGGAAAGTTCGAGAATATTACGCGTCTACAAGATGTTACGGTTAATTTTTTCTTACGTCGCACAGCAATCATTTCAGCAATAATTTTCCCAAATATTATACTGCGCATTTATTAGGATGCAAATACAATCCCTCAATCCCCACAACCATACTATGCGGAATATTATTATGTAAATATATTGTGCTTAATGCACCTTTACTTTATTGATTGTAAATAAAAAATACATATCGGATCTTAGTCCGTGATACAGCTTCGCTTAATACAATATGATACATGATGATATATGATAAAGTCTTATTGCATCTATTCTATCCGCCTCCTGATACTCACTATGTTCATTGTACCATCACCCTAACCTAATAGTCCGTTTCATTTGTTTGCATTCGTGATTAGTAACGAGATCCTTGGAATGGAAACTAGGTATTAGTCCTGATGACAATAAAAAGTGCTAAATCTCATGTCGCACAGTTTTACCCCCTTGATCGCTAATCTGATAGTTTTAACCAGCATTTTTCTGACATCATACTGCGTATTTCAGGTGATCGGTCTTACATGACGGAGTTTCTATGCTACGATCGCGAATTTGAATTTATTGCTTTAAGACGGATTTGATAATTAATTCTGGATCAGGTTTGGCTTCAAAGATGATAGGCCTCTTTTCTTCACATTGCTCAGAAAAAGATAAATAGGATACTTTGTTTTCTGGCTTCGAATTTATGAGAAGGCGGGCTTCTGATTGTTTCCATGGCTCGCATCCAGTTTCTTTCTTATATGTTTTATATAAATTGGAGCGAATTTTATCTGTCAAAACACTTGATAACCCAGTTAATTTGGCATGCCAATCCAGGTATTTGGGAGTTAATATTTTATCGATCTTGGTCATGTTGCCTTTTACTATAATTGCAAATTAATCTAATTAGATAATAGTTGACGTGTGTAAAAAAATGTCATATAATAAATAATAAAGCGTCAGTTAGCAAATGTAGTCACAAAGTGACCTGACTATGCAACTATTTCAAGTTCACGCTGTTCACATTTAATAAAATAGGATCCGGTTTATATCTACCTTCTATGCTTTCTTCATCGTCATGATCTAACTTGCATAATGGACATGAAGTCTCATCAGTAATTCCATAATAATCAACATTTTCACTACTAAATTCTCTATATAAATTAGGATATTGATTCAATGCTTTGTTGCGAAAATAGGCACGGTCATAGGTTGGCTGAGGTGCAGTTGTCACTTGCATCTCTGATGCATCAGTTTAATTAGTTTTTGAAGTCACATGTCCGTTCCAATTTGAAACAGAGTCATTATAATCTACATCATCCGTATTGGTAGCTTTTGGGAGGAAATCATTTATAATATTCTGGATCTGATTATCAGATAAATTCAAGATGGCACTTGCGCTACAGCTAATTATTTGGATTTTATTTATTCCTATCCCATCAAACAATATATAGATTTTTTTTAGCTCTGAAAGTTATTTTACACAAGTTTACATCAGTAATGTCGAGAAGAAAGGGTTTGATTTCGCTGTACACCAATGTTCTTGCTGATTTGTTATCAATACCATTCTTAGACTTAACATCCCTAACTCGATCCTCATACGCCTTATAGTAACAATATCAGCATAAGATCTCCTTTCGTCTGGCCTTCATTGCTATATTAAATAGATCAACTATGACTTGTGATGTAACTTTATTAGATCCTGTCAGAATTGCTTCTAAGAAAAATTCAGAAATCTGTATATCAAATATTTTATTTTCACTCTGTGTAGCGGATCCCTTACCTTTCATGTAAGCAGATAACTCGTCTTTCAAGTCTTGTTCTACTTTCAGATTATAGGAAATTTTCCCCATCTTAGATTATTTAGTCATATTTAAATTATTTAATCACCATATCTAGGTTATTTAGTTATATCTAGATTATTTAATCATATTTAAATTATTTAATTATCATATTTTAGTTATTTAATTATTAAATAACCTAATCTAAGCTAATTATGACTAAATAATGTAATTATATTATTTAGTCATAATCAGCTAGATTATATTTAATTAAACCATTATTTTTAAGTAAAATATTTTTAACTAAAAAGTATATATCTATAATCTTAATTATCTTAAGTTTAATTTGTTTAAATTCTGTATTTTAAAATGAAAAAATAAATATTTATAAATATTTGTAATTAAAAAATATATATTCTTGTTTCAAATCTAATTTATTTAAGTATTTAAAAATGTTAGTAAACTATTTTAATTACAATTATATTTTACTTTTAAATTAACATTTAATTCAAGATTTAATTAATAATTTTAATAAAATTAAACTTATAAATTTTATATAACTATAATTTTAATATTATAAGATAATAATATAATATTAATATGTGATCCTTATAAACTATAATAATTAAACAAAGTATAGAATGGTAATTTACTTTTTAAAATTAATAACAAGCAAACTTTTTACGAAATTATAACATAAAATTAATTTTTGCAGATAATAATATACTGTATAATAATAATATTGATATATTTATTAATAAGAAAAATATATTTTTTAATTAAAAAAATAAAATAAAGAATAATAAAAAAAATAAGAAAAGTAAAACAAAATGAATTATAATTGCCTGATTATTAATAACAAAAATATATTTAATTGAGAATTATATTCTTAAGGTTAAAAAAAAATTAAAAATACTGAACTCTACTATTCTAAAATTATTTTATACATTTTTTTTTATATAAAATTTACTATATAGAAAGATATAACTAACATATTACATATGTCTGATAAATCTATTATATTTACTAAATTTAATATATCAAATATTTCAGTTATATTTGATATGTCAAATTTTTAAATATATATATCAGATATATCGGATGTCAATCATTTTAATTGTAAAATCTTTTATTTAATTAATATGTTTATTATTAATTAAAAATAATAATTTGATTATTTATTAAATAATTTTTATTTATTTAATTAATATTTTAATTATTTTAATAAAATAAAAATAAAAATAAAAATATTTGATTATAAATATTTAATCAATGAAATAATTTATATAATTTGAATTTAATTTTTCTTAATTTATAGTTTAATTTAAATGAATTTTTTTCAGACCTAAATTTAAGCTAAAATTTTGTTTAAATTCAAATTAAAAATGCTTTAAAAATCTTTTAATAAATATTATTTATTATTATATATCAATTGAAATGATAAAATCTCTTTAATAACAAATCATTGTTTTAATTTTTTCTGTTTTTTTTATTTTTAATCTTTATCTGTTATATTTATATTCTTTATTACTATTTGTTTTTGATTAGAAATCCATTTTGAATTAGTAATTTAATAAAAACATTTGTATGGTATATAACGTCAGCTCAATAACGGATTTATTGTTAGTCATTAAGACTATGCTATAACGATAAATGCCGATAAACGTAAATTTTCAAATGATCGTATCAAATAGGTTATGCATATTCCTCATAATCCGACCAATAAATAAAAACAATATTTTAAATATTTAAATATTATTCCTTAAAATTCAATTAATTTCCAGAAAAATATAATGCCGTTAATCTTCTTACATCCTCTAATAAATTGAAAAAAAGTTACTAAAAAAATGATATAAAAATAAATTCAAGAAGCCAAATTACCTTCAACTTCCGCTAATGTTGCTTCTTTTTTAGGAACAACAATATATAATATTCGTCCATCAGATCTTTTACCAACTATCCAAAAATTAGTTGAAGAGCGAGTATATATTTCTGTCAATTGTGGATATCTGAAAGA